TCGAAACTGTAGTCCATTTCAACCTGGATGAGACTCAACAATGACTTGCTATTCGGCCCCCCTTTTCCTTCTGTAAATTTGGTACTGAAGCCGTCATTGCTTAGTTTGCCACGAATCCCTTATCTTCTGGCATATGCTATGCTTGGCTTGTGTCCAAGGTAGGGCGAATCAGTTCACGCAAGTTACAGAAATTCCTCAAATATGCCAGTGTTCCTCCTCGAATGAATTCCACCCTGACAAACTGGATACCTCATCGGGCATAGATAGGAGGGAGTGTTTTCTGATGGAATTCCTTTCGTCCACATCAGGCCTTCCTGTCATTTCGTGCCAGCTTCATGCATTTACTCTCACCACTTTACTTGAATTTGCTTTGCCTATCCAATTTTTGTTGAACTCACCTCCATTTCGGGTGAAAGTGTTTGATGAAGAGATTCGAAAGTCAATCCCCCCAGAAGACGACAGCCGATTCATCTTGGCCAGCTGGCGATTGGCTCTACTAAAACATTCTTGTTAATGCTGTTTCAGAGGCAGTCTCCTCCGATTCCAGTGGAAATGTGCTAAGCTTTCGTTCGTAATATGACGGACATCATCATGCACTTTAATAAGAAATGAATGTCTTCACAACAAAAGCGTCACGTCTTTAATTGCACTGGGTTGCAAGTTTTCTCGGTTAGACCATCCCAAGAGACGGCTATCTCTATCTTGAGGAGACGGTCAGGAGAGGTATTTCACATTCTTAATATTCCAAAGCTTACGAGGCTCATTGCCCTCAATACACACTGTATAGCTTTAGCGAGCGAAATTAGTATCAAAGTTAAAAAGTATTTTGGTACAGAAAAGAGGACTGGCTGGAAAAACAGATAGTCTAACAGCTGTAGGTTTGGAAAAATGTTATGAAATATAAGAAATTGAATTAGAACATACGAAAATTGGACCAGCGAAGAAAAGCTGAGTTTCGAGAAGTCTCCTGGTTCAAATATATTCAACTCACTTCCATTTCAAGTGAAAATGTTTTGCGTAAAGTTTCGAAGGTCTACTCCACCAACTTTTGCTTGGCCTTACTTGAACATTCCTGTTCATGTTGTTTTCGAAATCCGCATTTTATTCGTATATACGATTTTCAACATGGCCTATGAGTCATTTTAGTTCTAATCCTCTTCCTTTCTCATTTTTTTGTGCTAATCAATATTCGTGAAACACATGACCTGTATTGCTCTTTTGTCCTTTCGGCCTATTTTGCAGTCGATCAGCTCTTGCCCACTCATGGGGCTGGATTCGGAGTTGGAGCCGGGCATCGTCGGAATAGGCCTGAGTGCCTGCGAGGCGTTGGCTTGTTGCAGGAGGGCCTGTGAAACCATGGTTGAAGTGGTAAGTCAGGTGCACAAGACTCGGGAACAATTCGGCCTTGATGGACCGACCACGGTACATTGCAAGTGAGTTTATCTGCCTTCCTGTTGCATTGATCTACAGATTTATTGACCTCCAGGCTTGACAACATTTAGTTACGAAAAGAAACTGGGTTTCGATTAATCTCCTGAGCTAACATTGTTTGAGGGACTTTCATTTCGTATGAAAGTGCATGAAGAAAAGATTCGTAGGTTGATCTCATCAGATGAGGACGGCTGGATCGCGTTGTACTGCAGCCGTTTGGCTTTCATACGATGTTCAGGTAGACGCAGTCCACGAGACCTCGTTCCTCGTTTCGGGTGAAAAATGGCTGAGCTTTCGTCCATCATATGATGGACACCATCAGAACTGGGTCTCATTCTTGTAAAGGTCTAGTTTCAACACTCGCTCAAGAACACTATCCGGCTCTATCGTACCTCTAACATAGACTCAATTGACCAAAATAAAATTAAAAGGCTAGATTGATATAGAGGGATTTGGCTAATTATCTTTATTACTTGTCCTGCTATTTTTGCTCGAATGTGTGTGTGTGTGTGTGTATGTGTGTATGTATTAGCGTATATACGCAATGCTGGTCCTAAATCAGAGTTGTCAAAATATTTAATATCAGATTCTGATCATCAAGACATAATGACTCAAGAGAAAGCTCTGAACGAGACTGCGTAAGTCCGTAGGCAAGTATGGCTGAGATAATGAGATATGAGCTTGTAAGCATGTCATTCAAGTTACGAAACCATTTGCCCTAACCTCTCAATCTAGGGGCATTAATGTATGACCAGCAGTGGAAAGGAACGACTAGGGATGGTTTGGTTGCTGAGCTAGTGTAACCGCTTCCGGCAGAACGGTTGTCGAGGGATTGACTTCACTTGTCTCTATGACGAGTTCGTATCTT